CCCGCCCCAGCTCACAGGCCTGCCTGGGTCCAGGGCAGCAGTGAGAATCCAACTCCCAGGAGTGCCCAGACCAGATAGGGCAGGTCAGGAAAGGGCAAGACCAGTGTCCCTGTGTGAGCAAAGGGCTAGGGCAGGGCAGGGAAGTGACTCCTCACTCACTCCAGTGGAATTCCATCCCCCTGAGCTCACCTCCCTCAGAGCAAGTGGTGCATTCCAGCAGGGATTGGCCCAGTCCAGCTGTACTTCATCCCCAGGGTTGGCTCCTTCCTGGGCTCAGGCACCAGGCTCCCAAAAGGGGCCTCATAAGGCCTCACTTCCACTCACCCAAGGCCTTTCCAAGTTGATTCACCTCACTCTTATTATCCAGCCAGGTCTGGAAGGCTTAATCAGGTGCAGAACTGTCCTGAGGCTGTCCTATCCCCTGGCCAGGACTCCAGAGAGAATAGCAGAAGTTGGTTTGTGGTATAGCTTGGATTCTCCTGCCCCAAAAGAGGACAGCTCCCGCTCCCAAGTGCTGAGCCCCACCTCACCCTGCTACCCACAGCTCTGGCCCTGGCTGCCTCTCCTACCTCCTCCCATCAGCCCTCCCACCAATGCCAACGCCTTCACTGCTACCTCTTGCTACCGCCATTGGGGAGTATCCCAGTGGGAAATCTGGCTCCTGTGTTGCCCCAGGAGCAACTGCTCCTGCATCTGCTACCCACAGGCCCCCTCACTCCCCGAAACCAATCACTCCTTGCCCCAGTCCATACTCCTCGTGAGTATGGCACCCCCTCACCTCTCACCACAAATGCAACTTAAGGCCACCTAGCATTTAGGCTTCCCAAGCAACTGTCCCGGTCACCCACCCACAGAGCCTACTTGGTTTGGCACTGGCAGTCAACTTGCATTCTGTCCCAGAAAAAGGCAGAAACTTCCCTGCTAATGCCCAAGTCAAGGCAGGAGGACAGCTCCCTCCTAGGCCTACCATCCGTGGCCTGCACGTGGCCCTAGTGCCCAGGCACACTCACCACATAACACCCACCCTCCTAATGCCCATGCCTCCTCTACAGGGGGCCCTTGGGTCTCCCCTTCACGTCTCTGTGATTTGCTACTGTGTCCGCTCTCCTTTCATCTGATGTTCCTACCAGACCATGAGCATCTGGAAGGTGACCACCTTCTTTGACTCCTCTCCCCTGTGATGGTGTTGGCAAGCATTTGGTGGGGTTGCTCAGCGGGAAGACTAATGGGAGAAGGTAGGAGAGTGCGCCAGGGCAGAGCACTGTGGGTAGCAGGATGAGCATGCATGAATTCTAACATCATTTCCACAAAAGAGCGTTTGCACTTCCCATACAAACTGAATTTCCCAGGAATAAGGATGCCAGGCAACCACAGGACAGGGCGGAACTGCCACATCAAGTTTCTTGGGCTGCATACCTTTATGAAAGCACTACCCCACCTCTCTCCCGCAGACACCACTCGGTGTGAATCGCCTGCCTCTCGGTTAACAGCTGAGCGTTTTAACCACCATGCCACCAGGACTTGCTGAGAGTCGCCATGAACTCGACAGCAGTCTGACCGATTCATGACTGGACCCTCAAGATCTCACAGCTGCAAGCGGCACTGGGGTTAGGAGGAAGGATGGACAGACTGATGGGAGAGATCCCCTCAAACCCACAGTCACAGCCCTGGCTGAGGAGGCCTGGCTCCACCTGGGCTCAGACACAAGCCAAGATCTGTGGTGCAGGCTGAGTGCAGCACGTCCTCCTGAGCTCACCAGGTGAGGCCTGCACTCCCGGCCCAGGATGGCAGAGGGCGGTGCCTGGGTCACCTTCATCTGGGCTACCAGAACCCTGTATGGGGGGGGGGTGCAGGGTTCGTGCCACCACCTCTGCCCTGGGATGCAACCCTCCCTGTTCCCCCTCCTTCCTTCACGCGAGCTGCCAACAAGCCCCAGAGCAAGTGGTCAGGTCGAGTCTTGTCTCCTGTAGCAAAAGCAAGGAACCAGTGATAAACACATGTGTGAGCCTAAGATGCTCAACCTGACCGGCCGCCAGCTGGGCCCCTCCTCTTGCTGGGTTGGGGGGGGGTCTCATGTCCCGATTAAACAGCACTTCACCAGGAGGACCACTCATGAGTGCCTTCATCTGGCCCTGGCCCATGGAGATCCACAACAAATCAGGCATCATAAACCCATTTAACAGTGAGAAAACTGAGGGCCCCCTAGAGGGGTTGGAACATAGAGCCAGCAGACGATTGCCCTTGCTCTTGTCTATCTGAATATTCTTCTGGGCCTGTGGAGTGCTCTTTATTAAAAATTAACGGCGTCCTGACCCCCAGGGACTAAGTGAGACAGTCATCTTTCTAGAGCTGACCTGTCCTGGGTGCTCAAGGACCCGCTAGAATCCTCCCTGGAGCCTGCCTGGGATTGAGAAGGCCTCTTGTCTTTGTACAAGGATCCCTGGGGGTATAGTGGACTATGTATTGGACTGCTAATCAAAAGATAGGACGTTCAAGTCCCCAGAGCAAACAGAGGACAATCGGTTTCCAGGCAGATTAACAGCCTCAGGGGAGGGAGGATCACCATGGGTCAGAATCGACTCTACAGCAGCTCTACAGCAGCGGGTTAAGTGGTGACAGGTCCTGGGTGCTGTTTGAGTGCACGGTCAGGGTTACTACCCTCTTCCGCCTGCAGTCTGATGACAGGAGATCACAGAGCAAGGCAACATCTGAAAAAAGTCCAGGAAGAAGAGGAAAGAGGGCTTTTCTGAAGATGGTACATGGAGTTGAAACCTGAACGATAAAGAGAGAAGGCAGCTGCAAGACCCTCTTCGCAGCGAATGCAATCCTTACGCGGCCAGGGACCTGCAGACCAGCCAGTGCCAGCCACCTCTGCACAACCTCCCCAGATCAGACCTCTTGTCTCTGGCTCACTCATCGAGTGAGGTCCAACCTCACTCATCACTCGAGGTCCATTTCCTCCAGAAAGCCCACCTCGGTTGCAAGGGTGACCTCAGTCAGCTCCCAGTGCCTGCACGGACAGTCCCCACATTCTCTTCCACTTGCTTGAGCTGCACGGCCACAAGTCACCCTGCACTTTATGCAAGCCGAGCCCTGCTCACCTCACCCTGGAGGCCTGTGAACCTTTCATCCACTCAAAGACCCAGTGAGTTAGCTGAAGACAAAGGAGCTGAGGCTAAAAGAGGGGCAGAGGCCCGAGAGAACCTTTGAAGGGCTCTCCTTGAAACTCCCCACACACAGCCATGCCCATGGCCAGGTGAGTGGCTCCCCTGTGGCCTGCATGACTCAGGGGCCTGGGATGGTCCTAACACACAGGAAGTGGCCAGGAGGGAGGAAGAGGCAGTGCCTGCCAAGCCCCGCCCACCCTCTGCACTCTGTAGGCCCTTCTTCCCTTCCAAGGGGGGCAAGCTACTCCCCAGCACCCACATTCACAAAGTCTCCCTACTGCATGGCTACATTTACACAAATCACAACCACACACACCCGCTGAGCACCAACTGTCCAGCAGACCCTAGGATGGGAGCTTCCCTGCCGTCTCCTCTTCCCTGTCCACACAGACACTGCTGTGTGATGGAGGGACTGGACAGCTCATGGCCCAGCTTCCTTCACCACACCGCTCGGCCTGCAGCTTTGCCATGAACAAGTGTCTTAGGCACTCCATGCCTCATCTTCACCTGTGAAGGGGGATAATGACGGTGCCCACCCCAGATGGTGCCACCCCACAGTGACACTGTGAGGACCAAACAAGCTGCTGCATCCAGGGCTTAGAAAAGCTTCTGGCCTGGAAGTGAAGAACCAGAGCAAAAGGGGTCCATCACTTGTCATGCAAGCCCACAGAGATGGCTGGGAGCATCCTTCACCAGGATGGCAGTACCAGCGCCTCTGGTAATAGTCTCCTTTTAAAAAAAAAAAATTCTTGAGCTCTGGTGACATTTTTAAATGAGGTGACAGCACATAAGCATCAGAGCCTCAGTCTCAAGTCTCTGTCCCCACCGGCCCTGCGTTGCTGCTGGCCCTCTGGGAGCTCACCTCAGCCCTGCTTCGTCCCTGCTCGTCTGTGTTTGTGGCCTTCATATACGTCTACGTATCACTGCAGTAACTCCCTCCAGGTAGGCATCCGGCCTTCGCTCCTACCTCAAGATCCTTTCCCATGGTACTCAAGCTGGTTTCAGAGCCCTCCGCTACCCCAGGGCTAGGATCTTCAAGGTGGGCTCTGAGCACCTCTGCCTCCATGGGAACCTCCAGAGCCTGCCCTGAGCTTCAGATAGTGCCCAGATGGGCACTTACCACATCCCTGACCACAGCTGCCTGCAACATTTCACCAGGCTGCCTCTGCCCCCATACTTCCCAGGGTGGGAGGCTCACTCTCCTATTAATAGCTGATCCAGCTGTCCCTCACCCAGGCAGGGTCTGCCGCTCTGAGACACCTACTCTGTAAGCCCTTATACCCTGGGCCTGTGGGTATATCCACTTCCCCTGCCATGGACACCAGGCGTCTCCAGTCCCCTTCCTCTCCTAGCACCTCCACTAGAAACACTGGAATAACTCTGACTCCCTTTTAAAAGGAGCCCAGAACCAGGAGGCTCTACTGTCTCAAGACAGTAGAGAGGGCAAAGCTTCGTGCACTCTGAGCCCCACGTCTTGGTGATGTGATCAGAGCACAGCTGGCCACGTGGCAGCTACTGTGCATCAGTGACTCCTACTGCCCTATTCGAAGCCACCTCCAGCCAGGTCCTCTACAGCTGCTTCTGGGTATCCAATGATGAGGGTTCACATCTCTCCCTCTTTCCATCCTGCTGAGTCATATCCTAATTGTTGCAACTGAGATTAAGTTATTCAGCCTCTTGAATCCCGTCATACATGAACCCTGATCGATTTGTGCCACACAGGAATCCTGGCCAGCAGCAAACCGGCCCTAGCGCCACGTGGAAGGCCGAGGCGGCACCCTGCGCGCCCCCCGGGTGGCCAGCGCGCGCGCCTGCAGTACCCGAGCTGCCTACCTTGCGGCCGGCCTCGTTGTTGTGCAGGTTCATGAGCGTACGGGCATTCTGCTTGATCTCCCGCGCATCCACGAAGACCTTCGCGAAGCCGATGCCATAGCGGATGTCGGCGGAGCAGCCGCCCCACTTCCAGCCCTCATCCCGGTGGTACTGTCCTTGCTTCTCCTTGTCACAGCCACAGTCGCTCAGGTTACCCTGGGTACAGGCGGCCGTGATGGCGTGGGCCACGCCCGCAGCAATGATGGCGTAGGTGAAGGCGGCCTCCCGGCTCCCTGCAAGGAGGACAGAACAGAAATGCTGCTGTGCTTACTCACACAGACGGACGCCCCCCACCTGGGAGAATCTCTCTCTCTCTCTTTCTCTCTCTCTCTCTCTCTCTCTCTCTCTCTCTCTCACACACACACACACACACACACACACACTCACTCAGCTCCCATCCCAGAATGGCCCAGGAGGACATATAGGGATGTGCTGACCACCTTGCACCCCCAGCCCACCCCACACAGGACGTGACCGTGCGCTCTGCACTTGTGCACAATGGTCACATCAGCTGGACACACAGCAGACACGAACCTGGTCCAGACACAAACCTGTCCCAGATGCCCACTGTGTGCAGAGGTCTGAGTAGAAGGCTCGGGTTAACGTCCAGTAACGTCACACCCAGGACTTCAACAAATGGCCACCTTGCCCCGTGCCTCCGGCCCCTGTGCTGTCAAATGAGGACACAGCAGCCGCGTCTTTGCTGTGATGACAGAGGGAGGACGGTGAGAGTTTGCCCACTGCCGTGCTTGGCCCCGTGGCTGGCACAGAGCCTGCTGCTGCTTAAGGAGGCTTCTCCTGCTCCGTGTCCTCTGCTATCACCCAGGCTGTCTCGGCCCTTCCCTGCCGTTCCCTGGCTACACTGAGAGTATCTCTTATAAAGACCTCTTTACTCCTGTGTCCTCTGCCTGGTGGAGAAGAGTGCAACCCAAAGACAGGAGGAGGCAGAGAGGCAGGTGGGCGCCCAGAGAGGATCTGGCTACAGGGAGATGACACAGGAGGCAGGGTAGCCCCCGGGGTCACCTCTCCAACAATATTGTCTTCCAAGCTTTTTACAGATGTCCCTGTCGGGAAGCTGGACACCACTTTTGAGGACTTCTTAGGCCTCACACTGCCGGCACTGGGGTGGGGAGGGGGTGACTGTGTGTGTGTGTGTGTGTGTGTGTGTGTGTGTGTGTGTGTGTGTGTTTGGGGGGAATCTCTGAGCTTAGAGAGCAGCTGGGGTGCACGAGACAGAACTTTGGGGAGGGAGTCACTCAGTCTAGTACAGATCAGACCCTGTTCCCCAGGCTTTCAGGGCCTCATTTTTCCCACTTGCAAAGAGGTCTCTAGAACAGCATCTTTGTCACCAGATTAACCAAGGTCATTCATGGGAAGAGCCAGATGGAGTGAAAAGTCTCAGTGGAGACGGGCTGGGTATCAAGGAAGGCTTCCTGAAGGAAGAGACCCCAGGGCACACAGGGAAGATGAAGCAGAGCTGGGGGAAGGTGCTTCACAAAGGCCAGGCAGGGAAGGCATGGTGGGGGGCGTGGGGAAATAGGTGTGGCAATCCTCAAATTGCTCTGTGTCTGAGTTTGGGCTGACCCACAGCCACGAAGACCCTTTCCATCCCTCATCGGCCTCAAGGCCTCTCCGATCCTCCCTACTAAGACACAAACACCTGACTACCTCCTCTACTCCTGCTCACCTGTGCTCAAAGGAGCTTCATCCACTTTCGCTTACCAATAAGGAAACTGAGGCTGAGCTAGAGGATTGCCAAGGCTGCCTTACCCATATGCAAGAGAGCTCACGGAGGTCAATGCGAGAGGCTGAAGTGACTACCAACAGGGAAGACTTGAGAAGAATGTAACCAGCCTCACACTGCTAGGCTCTGCACTCAAGGGGGATTTCAAATTTAGGCCTTGAGCCCTGTGGACATACACAGTAAAAGATAGAGCTTAACAGGCCACCCTCTCAAGCCCCCTACCCAGCATAGTGAAAAATCTCCCCTCCAGCAAAGCCAGACGGTAGGCAGTTCTCACAATGGAGCACAAGGCGGGGAGGAGCGAGCAGTGGGGCTAGAGACAAAGCCCATACTGCCTGAGAACCAATAAAAACTTCCTACCTGTTCCTGTCTTTGCAAGTTTGCTGTTGTTATGCATTGTCAAGTCAGAACCAGCTCATAGCTGAGCCTCCAGCGCCTTGTCAGGCAGGGGCAGCAAATCACATAGGAAGAGCCCCTGGTGGATTCGAACTGCATGCCTTGGGGTTGGCAGTGCAACTCCCTACACACTAGGCCACCTGAGCTCTCTTTGCAGGTTTTGAGCTTGGCTTCACCTGTCTTGCATGCTCTAGGTGGTCCAGAAGAGAAGATTTGTCCCAGTGAGGCTCCAGACCTCCAGCAGGTACCAGCTGATACCCACAGAGTACACACCTAGCATTCAAATGCCCAAGAGGCTACAGCAAATGGTGAGGTGACACCTTTGAGAGTAGTCAGAAAAGAGCAATCAGAGCGAGACTAGACAGAGAACTAGCTGTGTGGCCTCGGACAGGCTCTCTACTCCGGTTCGCCGTTCCCCCTGTGAAATGGGATGAGAACCAGGTCGACTTTCTTAGGGTGGCTGAAGGGACTTGAATGGGAGGGGCAACCAGGAAAAAAAAGTCCAAACGTGGTTCTTTTACTAAAAATTCCACAGCAGCCCCAAATGCAAAATTTACAATGTTCTTTATTGATGGTGGCTCTGGTGCGTTGGTGGTAGCAGAAACTGAAGTCAGAAGAAATCTCTGGCTCATCCAGGCAGCCCAGCAGAGGGGCCACCAGACTCAAGAAGGCACTAAACACCCCCTTATAGACCCCAAGAATTGCCCCAGTGATGAAATGATTTGGAAGGCACAGGATGAGCAGTGGGAAGAAGCTGGTGTCCCCTTCTTCGGTCGCGAATGGGCACGCACACAGAGGCTCAGCTCTCGGCCTCGTCAGCTAAGATTCTCTCTGTGCAGATCCCTGCAAAAGGGCTGGGCCAGGATGGGGTCCTGCCCAAGCCCTTGTGGCATCTTTGTGTGCTCCTGTGCTGTCACCAGCAGGTGACCACCCTGGACCACTCTGGGCCCCACAGCAGAACAAAGGAGGTGGTGAGTGGTAGCCACCTAAGACAATGTGATGAGGACAGTTTCTGACCCTACACCATGTCCCACGAGGCAGGAGCAGGGCAGCCTCCTCTGGATATGGCACACCCCTAAGTTCAGAGTGACCCCAAACCAGAAGCCTTTACCTTTTCCATAGCATACTGTGCCCCAGAAGTGAAGCCTACACCGAGAACCCGCAAACCATGAGGTTCGCCTGTCCAGATGCAGAGCTCCCAGGGGCCAGGGTCTCCCCTGCAAAGGTCCATTCACTGGATGGATGCCCAAAGCTAAGCCTGATGGTGTTGGCCTTCTCCCCCAAGCAGTAAGCTGGGACTTGCCTGTGCCACAGTCACCACTAACCACCAACATAACTGCCCTGAACAGAGTGCAACAGCTTCTTCCTGTGAAAGGAGGAACAGCAGCATCCATGTGGACAGATTCCCAAAAGCGAGGGAAAGCTGCTGAAAACAGAGCCTGGCCTGCAGTACTTGCCCAGGAAACGCCAGCCATTACTGTTTTGATAGTTGTTATTGCCCTGCTCCCCAGCCATTGTTACTGCTGTTATCTTAATGGCAGTGGTTATTACACTTGTGTTATTGCTGAGTTCCTCAGAGCCCCATGGAGTTCTGTGACACCCAGAGGGGTGAGACATGTAGAGGAGGTGTGCGGAGCTGAGAGGGGGTCTGCCTGCCCAGTCACGCTGTGCGTCTGTGAAGGGAGACCGGCCACATCTGCCTCAAACCCTCGCCATAATGTGTGAGGAATCCACGAGGGAGACACACCTGAGTTAGTCTCAACCCTGCCAGTACACGGTGGCCCTGGGCCTCTGACTGCTCACCTGTTAGCAAGTGCTGAAAATATCCCATGGACGGCCAAGAGGACAGACAATTATATCCCAGAAAAGGTGCAGCCAGGGCGCTCCTTGAAGGCAAGGATAGTGAAACTTCATCTCACATACTTTAGGCATGCTGTTAAGAGGGGCTAGTCCTTGGGAAAGGACTTGATGCTGGGAAAGGTGGAGGGTCAGCAAAGGAAGAGAAGACTCTCAACGAGATGGATTGACACACTGGCCGTTAATGACTGTGTCAGAGATGGTCAGAATGGCACAGGATAGGGCAGGGTTCAGATCCATCGTTTATAGGGTCGCTATGCGTCTGGTCAACTCGACGGCATTTAACAATCACAACCCTAGAAGAAGAAGTGGCTGTCATCTGACAGGTGTGCTTAAACAAACAGTAGTGAGTATTGGAATCAATTGAGCTGACGGAGCCACTGCACCACGGGGAGGTCCCGAGACGCTTCCCTCCCTAGGCTTGCTGCTTGCTTTCTCCCGAGAGCCTTCTACTACCTGCTATTTTGATTTCTTTATTGTCTGTTCCTCACACCTCCCCCTCCACCCACTGCCTCTGGAAGATCATTTCCTCAGTGGGAAGCACTCTCTCTCTCGCTTCCTGCTGTGTCCTCAGGGCCTGGCACACAGTAGCTCCTCTGTACGTATCTGTTAAATGAAGAAAAGTCCCCAAATGCCAACCAACAGCGGACTGCAACTCCCCTGCAACTAATAAACCTCGATTTGTCGAGTTCCACGCTGAGCGCTTTAGAAGAGCATGCTCATCTACTTGTCAAGAATACAACATCTTGAGGGAGATGACACTGGCAAGCCCATTTTACAGACGAGGAAGCAGAGGCTGAAAAAAACCCCAATCTGACCTGGCAGGCACCAAAACCCTGAAGGCCCAGGTAAAGACACTCCCGCAGCTTCCTGCTGGCGCCCCTCCTCACCCACTCTAAAAGACCCTGGTAGTCCATCACGCTAGAGGTTTTGAGGAGATGGATGGGGTGTGATGGAGAGACAGTGACATTTGTGGAGCCTGACCCATGCGTGGCAATCTTCAGTAACTCATACCAGCTCATTGGGTAGGGCTTTTTCTCCTCCACAAACTGAGGTTCTGAGAAGTTAAGTGATTTGCAGCTTCAGTAGAGGCATGAGCAGGCCCGAAGGCAGCAGGCCAGGGAGAGAACTGAGGGAGGAGGGAGCTGCAGAGGTAGACATGGATGGTCCTGCTGGGTACACACATCCTGAGCCTGAATGGGAGAGAATCTAAGAACAGACCCCAGAGCGACAGAC